CAAGCCATGCCCGGTGTCTCAGAACACTTCCTGCTGCCTGCGGGTCAAGGTGTAGGACTCTCAACTCCTTCTCTAGCACCATGCCTGCCTACAAGCCACCATGTCATACCACGATGATAATGGACTAACCTCTGAAATCATAGTCACCCCCAAGTAATTGTTTTTCCTTTATAAGAATTGTTGTAGTCATGGTGTCTCTTCATAGCAATAAAAACCTAACTAAGACAGAAGTTGGGCTGGGCAGTGTGGGTGCATGCCTTTAATCCCAACACTTGGGAGGCAGAGGCAGGTGGATCTCTGTGAGTTCGAGGCCAGCCTGGTCTACAAGAGCTAGTTCCAGGACAGGTTACAAAGCTACAGAGAAACCCTGTTTCAAAAAAAAAAAAGTTGGTACCAGGAACTGGGGTAGGCCTGACCTTGATACTGTTCGAAGGGAACCTTGGGACTATGGATTAGAAAAACAGTTGAATGGTTTAAGTACTGATTAATGGGTCATACTAGTAGGAGCATGGAAGACTGGTGAGGGAGAATTGTCTGTATTCTGTCAATCATGTTTTAAATACATGCTAATTGGCCAGGCAGGAAGTATAGGTGGGTCAACCAGACAGGAAGTAGAGGCAGGGCGATGAGAACAGGAGTATTCTGAGAAGCAGGAAGCTCCCTCCGCAGTTCTCAGATCACCGAAGAAGCAAGATGTGAGCTGCCCCACTGAGAGAGGTACAGAGCCATGTGGCTAACATTGATAAGAATAATGGGTTAATATAAGCTACAAGAGCTAATAAGTAGCTTGAGCTAATGGGCCAATCAATTTTATAACTTATGGATCTCTGTGTGATTTTCTTTGGGACTTGCTGGTTGTGGGGAACTGGGCAGGACATAAACCCCAACAAGCAGGCTTCTTCATGTTACAGAAGACAGTGGTGCTGAGTGTGATTTGATGAACTGTGGGGGCCTGGCTCAAGAGATTTCAGAGAAGAATATTAATGTTTGTCTAGATATTGGTCCTGCGATGGTTTGTTAAAGAATGTGGCTGCTTTTTGCCCTGGTCTGACAAGTCTGCCTGAGACTAAAGAAAAGAAATTTGGATTAATTTTGTCAGCAGAGGAAATCTCAAAATAGCCTAGTATTGACTCTATTATGTGGTTGCTAGTGTTTATGCTTATAAAGATTTATAACAAAAAGGAGCAAGTTGAGCAAGGAAAATTGCAAATTATACTAAGGCTAGGCATGTGTCAGGATACCTGTTGAGAAAAGTTGCTAACAGGGAATGGAACCAGCCCAAGAGAGAAAAGTGTGTTAGAATTAACAAAGCTGAAAGGAGATGAAGATTTGAGGATCATTTTGATATCAGACATGGAGATGCAAAATTTAGAGTTTTCCCAAATTGTTTTGGTCTTGCTTTGGTCCAGTGTTTCCTCACTGTGCCTTCTTTTCTACATTTTGGAATGGTAATGTATATCCTCTGCCATTCCACGTTGGAAGCATGTGATGTGTTCTTGTTTTTTTAATTTAAATTTTATAGGGAATTGCAGTTAAGAGATAATACTGGCTGGTTTTACATGTCATCTTGACACAGGTTAAAGTCATCAGAGCAAGTATCCTCAGTTGAGGAAATGCCCTAAGGAGGTCTAGCTGTCAGGCATTTTTCTCATTTAGTGATCAATGTGGGAGTAACCAGCCCATGGTAGGTGGTGCCATCCCTGGGTTGGTGGTCCTGGGTTTTATAAGAAAGTAGACTGAGCAAGCCATAGCAAGGAAGCCAGTAAGTAACCTCCCCACCCCCATGGCCTCTTCATCAGCTCCTGCCCCTAGAATCCTGCCCTGTTTGAGTTCCTGTCCTGACTTTCTTCAGTGATGAACAACAATGCTGAAGTATAAGTTGAATAAACCCCCATCCTTCCCAACTTGTGTTTTGGTCATAGTATTCCATTGAAGCAATAGAAATTCTAATTGAGATGGAGATTGTATGAATCTTAGAAGAGACTTTGAATTCTGGACTTTTAAACATTGTTGAGACTGTGATAGACTATGGAGACTTCTGAAGGTGGAAGCTGCAAATTGAAGGTGCAATTTACTTTATGATATTTTTACAAGCTTATGGGGGCAAGGGAGTGGAATGTCATAGTTTGAACATAATTTACCCCTATAATCTCATAGGGAGTGGCATTATTAGGAGGTGTGGCCTTGCTGACGGAAGTGTGTCACTGTAAAAGCAGGTTTTGAAGTCTCATATGTGCTCAAGCTATGGCCAGTTTCTCAGAACATTTCTTGTTACCTGGTTGTCAAGATGCAAGACTCTCAGCTTCTCCTGGAACTATCTTTATGAACTAGGCTAACCTTGAGCTCAAAGAGCTGCCTGTCTATAACTTCCAACTGCTGGGATTAAAGGTGTGCACCATTACATCTTGTTTGTACTCAGAAATTTAAAGCAAGGAGAAATTTTATTGTATTTGGCCCTTTGGTCCAGTGCATCTAATGCTCTGAAGAAGCTTAGGCCCCGAGAAACAAGAAAAGAGTACGGAAGCAGAGTTTACCACTTCTTGTCATTGACTATGTTAGAAATAAGGCTTTCATAATGTAGAAGAGTTTGCTATGTCAGGTATACGCCAATGTTAATAAATGTATAGCATATGACTTATGTGATATCACTATAAGCGAGGTTGAAGACCTATGATGGGCAGATCACAGACTCAAGTAAGGCAGCTATTGCTGTCATTTTACTAAGTGACTACTATGTGCCCATGAAATAGCCTTCAAAACACTTAGGTTTATATCTACAGAATACTGCTTCTGTCAATCTCAGTTACAGAGAAAATCTCTTTTGCAGAAGTCAGTGGTTTACTGCAGAAACTGGTCAAGTGGTTGAGGTTAAGTGACTTTTGTTGTAGCATTAATAGATAAAGAAAATAATCAGATATTTGTATAATTCTCTCCAAGACTCAGGAAACAGAGCAGAAGAGATGGCACAAAGAATTTAAGAGTCAGAAAAGGGGTTGGGATGGTTTGTAGCTATTTTATCCAAATGGAACGTACCCTGGTGGGGATGCTTATAAGATTCAGGAAGCTCATGAACTTAAAAATTTTAGTTCACAGGATTCTGAAGTTGTATATGCAATCTTTTATTGATGGGACAAAAAGACCCTTTGGTGTTTGCAAGTTAGACAGGGAGCTTAATGTTAATTTTCATGATTATTGTTCACACTGAAGTAGACTTTTCAGTGATATATCTGTCCAAATGCCACCCACAATCCTATAAGTAACAATAATACGTTCATTGCCTATGAGATCTGAAATCATTTATTTAGTCTGTTGTTGTTTCCTTTTGTGTTGAATATACACTGTCTATAAGGTCTAAGAAAGAGTCACACAGCAACTACTTTCAAAGGCTATCACAATAACCTGAGGAGATTATATTAGCGAATCATTCAATACAGTGTTTGGTATATGCACAGCTAATATAAGTATGGGTTACTATTCCCTTCAAAACAAACAAGTCCCTTTGACCTCCAGTGTTCTCTGGCTCAAGAATGGTTTAACTTTGGTTTAGAAGCAATTTTCTGACAAATCAGGCCTACTTTGCTACCATGACATACGCAGGAGTCAGGACACTGCCGAGTTTAGCAATACAAAATGTGTCATGTTATGGAGGTAGTCATTGGCTTGGATTAACTTCGTGCCTAGCATGGACTTGGGGCACCTCGAGGTTCCTCAGATCTCTGGTTGCTTCAGCCCGTTTTAAACACCAATCAGGATTGAATGACCCAGTTTATTTCAAGGCTGCTATAAAATCCGAGGTGGAAGCAAACACTGAATCCAAGCGCGGTGGTTCTCTGTCATATACATTTTCTTGGTTCCTATCCAACCTTATTTTAAATACCCCCAGAGATGGGCTTTCATCACTTTTCTTGGAAGATTTTTCTTGTATAATAATTTTTACAGTTAGAAAATTTTCTTTCTCATTTGGGTGAAATTTTCCTCTTCTTTCTTTCTTTTTAAAATAGCCTTCTAGTTATTTTGTGATAAACTTGATTAAATAATTCTTCCTGGCTATTTAGTATTTCTCCTGTCACTTTTTTTCTTTCTTTTTTTAAATTTATTTATTTATTTGTTTATAAAAATTTCCACTTCCTCCCCTCCTCCCCATATCCTCCTATTCTCCCGACTCCCTCTCCTCCTCCCCCCCCCACTCCCTCTCCTCCTCCCTCTCCAGTCCTAAGAGCAGTCAGGGTTTCCTGCCCTGTGGGAAGTTCAAGTTCCTCCCCTCTCCCTCCAGGTCTAGGAAGGTGAGCATCCAAACAGACTAGGATCCCAAAAAGCCAGTACATGCAGACAAAACAAGACCCAGTGCCATTGTCAATGGCTTCTCAGTCAGCCCCCATGTCAGCCACATTCAGAGACTCCGGTTTGATCACGTGCTCGTTCAGTCCCAGTCCAGCCGGCCTTGGTGAGCTCTCATTAGATCAGTCCCCTTGTATCAGAGGGTGAACGCACGCCTCGCGGTCCTGATTTCCTTTTTCATGTTCTCCCCGCTTCTGCTCCCAGTCAATTATTAGCTCCCTCTCAGTCATGTATCAACTCCAAATATCCTCTATCTTTAACCATTTCCTCTAACTCCTCCACCGCAGTAACCATTAGTCTTATCTCTCTAAATTAATCCATCTGCTTTTGGGAAGATAACTTCAGTGTCTTAGGTTTAATACTCCTTTGAAAGCAAAACACATTAACCTATTTATCTCTTCTATATCTGAAATGTTACATTAAAATCTTGCAAATAAGGAAAAACTAATTTACTGTTTTAACTTAATGGCTATTGTTACTTTGGTCTTTTCCATTTCATTTTTTTTAAGTACTGATATTTTTGACTACTCAGTGGCAGTTTGTAGTGGGTACTTTGCTCAATACTTCCTGTGCACCATCCAAACTGTCATCGCGACAGGCTGCGTGTGAGCTTTTATAACTCCCACTTCACATCCGCGCGAGAGAAGGGCCAGAGAAGTTAAGTCAGTTTGCCTAATCTTGGCTCCAGGCATGACTCGCTTCACCAGGGCTGAGTGATTATAAAGAGTCTGCATCCACTTTTATAGGTCCTACACTTCAGCGGACACTTCTGATAAAGACATGAGACCTTGTCTGTGGCTGTGCAGAGCCACCCTCCCGCCACCCAAATGGAAGTACTTCACAGTTGCTCTGAAAATAGAAGCTGCTAAGTCTGTCACATTTAGAGGGAGATTTTGCAGTCCTCTCAGTTCAAGGTAATTTCTTCAACTTTTCTCCATCAGCTTTCAGAATCTTGTGTGATTTGGGTTGATGGAACTCAGTAATTTTCACTCTGATTGCTTTCCTCCTTAATTCTGATCCGCGAGTCTGTCTTCTCTTGCATTGCTGCTCATACCACTGAGGTTGTCCTAGTGATGGATGGTACTTTCCCAGAGGAAGTAGTTGTTAGACTTTGAATATCCTTAGCTTCTTCTGTTGCCTTTCATTTCTTTTTTGTTGTTCTCTTAGGTACATATTTATCAGTGTCATCAACACCCCTCAGTTTAATTTTGCAAGTTTGAAGCATTTATTTTGCTGTTTTCTTTTCTTTTCACAGCATCTTTTGTTTTCCTTGTCACCTCTCCCTTGCTAAAAGTCGCTCATGTACCATGTGCCACCATTAAAATATGTTTCACCTGATGCTGGGGCCAGTTTTCAGCAGTACGTTCTTCCAGTGGTCTGTCCTACTCACAAATGTCTGGACTGATGAAATCTTGCACGCTTTTCTGACCTGTGACTCAGGTCATGAGCAAGTAGGGTAAGTCTCAGGATGTTTAAGTGCCTATTCTTCCACTGAGTTGGTTGTGAAGGTTCATGTCCACCTCATTCCCAAGACACTGCATGCCAGTTCTTAAAAGCCCTATTTGGGAAGAAACAAAAGAAATTCCAGTTTACTAAATGTTATGATCTGTTTAATTTTGTCAAATTTATAATATAAGGTGATTTATAAAAACTTGTAACCTTAACTAAAGGTTTCATACTGCCTGTTCCAGGAAGTGACAATCATATTTTGTCTCAAAAGTTGTACTGATCACCTTGCAACCCTACCTTTGTTATAACTACTTGTTGCAATGACCTCATTGCTATGACCACATTGCATTCATGATTTTGTTTCAAAGGTTGTTATGATCAACTTATTATGTTTATATTCTGCTCTTATAACCCTACCTATTTTCCCACATTTAGAAGTCCCCTACCCGTGAGCTATAAAAACCTTGTCTTCTTTACTTTCAATGCTTACCTCTTGAACCCTGCCTTAGAGGGAGGCAGACCATGTACAATAAATAAAGAAGCTTGCTTATTTAATTGCTTGCTTTAATTAATTTGACAGATGATTTGGGTCTGTGGTTCTTTCTCTTCTCATCTTTGGGATTAACAATAGATCTCTTTAACCGTATCTGTCATTTATTATTGTTTATTAATTCACTCATTAATTTTGCTTTCATATGACTTTAACATGAGGGCCGGCTTGTTGGGGTTTCTGTCCAGCCCAGTACCCCAACAGCCGGCAAGCAACAAAGAAAATCACACACAGGACTCCATAAGGTTATAAACTGATTGGCTCATTAGGTCAGGCTTCTTGTTAGCTCTTATAACTTATGTTACCCCATTATTCTTATCTACGTTAGCCACATGGGCTCAGTACCTTTCTCAGTGTGACAGCTTACATGTTGCCTCTTCGGTGGTCTGGACAGGAATGCCGGAGGGACCTTCCTCCTCCATAACCTTATTCTATTCTCTTTGCCCCGCCTCTACTTCCTGTCTGGTTGATCCGCCTATACTGCCTGCCTGGCCAATCAGCGTTTTATTAAAATACATGATTGACAGAATACAGATAATTCTCCCGCACCATATGACTGCTTTGTGTATTTTACTGGTTTGTTTTATGAAATAAGTTTTAACCAAGTAAGCAGAATTCTTGGTACAGACTTTTCTTTTGGGGGCCCAATATTCAGTTTTATTTAATGTTTTTTGTAATTTAAAATTATTTATTTCATTTTTACTCAGTATACAGAATAGTAACCTTCATTATGTCATTTTCAGCCACAATTGCTTTATTTAAATATTTACTCAAAAATGGATTTAATTCACCAGATTTTATACTTAAACAATATTATAAAGATAAAATAATTAAAGCAACATTTTATTGAGCAATTTTACTCACATATACTAAAAATACATTTAAATAAAATATCTTCACATGCCCTTTAATATATATTGGATTCTACACATAATGCTTTGAGTATTGAGAATAATATGGATAATTAGTCCAACAAAGAACTAATTCAATGTGAGATTCAACATATTGCAGGACCTGCTTCTAATAATTGTGAGCTCTTGTTAGGAAAGTACATCTATGGGGCCGAGCTCTTGGGCATGGGCTAAGGCTGATGTCCTCAGGTGGATGTCCTCTTTCCTATGGAGACCTCAACTTACGTGTCAGGCCTTAGCAAATCAGGAGACCACAATTTTCTTTGTTCAAGTCAATGGCTTGTGACAACTGACAGAGGTATCTCCCCCTCTTAACATGTGAAACCACCAGCTCATGTGTGGGGGTAGTCACATCTTGGGCTGGTTGGCTTTCATTCTCAATCAGGGCTCCCATAAGTCCTCTCCAGCAGGAGTAGGAGCTCCATTTGTTCTGTGCTCCAACCAGCATATGGCTGTCACTTACTTTTCTGGGGCTGTATGGCTGGAACATGTGTGTGTGTGTGTGACAACTCTATCCCAAATAAAGTGGCCCTCATCTGAAATACTGGGGACCGGGAGCGGTGGACAGTGAACTCTTTTTTTCATTCTTCTTTTTCTTTTCTAAGTTTATAGTCTTTGCACATTCACACTGAAGTATCTTGGTAATACCTAGACTAAGCAAACATTTATTTAGTTTCCTGTACACCTTATACCTATAACCTGAAGGAACTATTTGTGCTACTTTGTACATCTGTGTCATGAGCCAGTGCATAATTTTCCTATTGTGGCATATTGGTGCTGAGAAAATTTCAGACTTTTAAGCATTTAGATAGTATAGATTAGGGATGTTCAACTTGTTTATATATCATATGTATAGCTCATCTGTTTTCTTGCAATTCTTTATGACTAATACATTATTGTGATTATTTGGATACTTTTGTAAAGTACAATTTAAAAATTTAGTGTGATATATTTTTATCAGCTCTGAATGATCCTCTTTATGTTTGATGTAAGCTGTCAGTTTCCTGTGTAACAAACCTTCATTGGTAGAAGATATTTTATTGATTTATGATGAGGTTATAGGCACTTATTATCTTTATGTCTTTAACTGAGAAGCCACTTGTCCATCTCATCTTTGTTATTAAAAGCTAACTCTCTGTGACCCTTGGCATACTTCTTAGTTTCTTTGGCACCTACTATAAGATATTCAAGTATCCTGTTCATTTTGGTTATATGGCTCCACTTTTGATGGATCTCCGAATCCCTGGTTGAGTCCATTCATAATTTTGGAAGTCTTGGGTCCTAGGTTTCTCTCCTCTTCTGGAGCTCAGTCACATAGGTGTGGTACTCTGCTCTGTACACTACTTGCCTTTTACTCTGTGTTCTGTACTTGCTGATTTTTGTGTTCTCAACAATGTCTTCGGCTGGACACCTCTAAGAATATTTAATATATGCTTTATTGATTTCTTAATCTCATTTCCCCTTTGAAATTTATTTTTTCTTATAAGCAAAGTTGCCTTACATATCTTTCAGTTCTTTAGTGCATCTTTTATTCTTGGGAATTACTCAGCTACCCAATGCATGCTAAAAAATTTAATGCTTATTTTATCTTCTGTCCTTATGTGCTTAGCTACTTTTAAGTTTGGCCTTTCTTTTCCTTCTTCTCCCATATATTAAATCCTGATGACAGTTCCCCCCTAACTGTCTCCCCCCACCTCCCCTATCCCCCATATCCACCCTCCCTCTATCTCCCCTCAGAAAAGAACGGTTTCCCAGGGACACCAAGCAAACAAGGCAAAATATGCTACTATAACACTAGATACATATCATCATATCAAGCTGGACATGGCAATTCAGTAGAAGAGAAAGGGTCCCATAAATAGGCAAATGAGTCAGCAAGCATCCCTGCTTTCACTGTTAGGAATCCCACAAGAACACCAAGATACTCAGTCATAACATAGACGCAGGGGACCTAGGTTAGACCCCAATAGGCTCCCTGATCTCTGCCAGCCCCCATCAGTCTTGGACAATTAAGTATTTAGGCCAAGTACTTTTGGTATCCCTCACCCCTCTGGTCCCTCTGATCCTGCCCCCTCCTCTGCAGGACTCCCTGAACTCTGCCTAATGTTCGTCTGTGGGAATCTGCATCTGTTCCCATGAGTTGCTGAATAAGTTTCTCTGGCCTCCTTGATGAGAATTCTGCTAGGCTCTGGTCTCAGAACACTATGCAAGTAGCAAAAACTGTGGATTGAAGGTTTTGTGGCTCGGTTGGTGTCCCAATTCCTCTGCTTATGGCCTTACCTGGTTACAGAAGATGGCCAGTTAGGGCTACATGTCCCCTGTTACTAGGAGTCTTTGCTAGGGTTACTATATCATAGATTTTATGGAGATTTCACTGTACTAGGTTTCCACCTCATCCCTGAGATGTTACCCCCATTCCAGTTGTTTCTCCCAGTATTTTCTCACTCCCATCCCCCACTTGATCTCTCTTGTTCCAACATACACCTGCCCTCTGTCCATGCTTGAAATCTATTCCATTTTCCCCCTCAAGGAGACTTTAATGTCTCCCCTTAAGTCCTCGTTATTTAGCCTCTCTGGGTCTGTGAACTGTAGCATGATAATCTTTTACTTTATAGCTAATATCCACTTATGAGTGACTACATACCATGTTTTTCTTTCTGGATCTGTTTTACCTCACTCAGAATGATTTTTTTCTAGTCCCACTAATTTTCCTGCAAATTGCAAGATGTTATTGTTTTTAACAGCTGTTGTGTAAATTTACCATATTTTCTTTATCCATTCTTCAGTAGAGGAGCATCTAGATTCTTTCTGGTTTCTGGATATTGTGAATAAAGCAATGAACATAGTTGAACAAGTGTGCTTGTGATAGCATGGGGCTTTGGGTATATGCCCAAGAGTGGTATTGCTGGGTCTTGAGTTAAATTGATTCCCAATTTTCTGGGAAACCACCATACTGATTTCCAAAGTGGCTGTACAAGTTTGAACTTCCACCAGCTATGGAAGAGTATTCTCCTTATTCCACATGCTCTCCAGCATAAGCTATCACTTGTGGTTTTGATCTTAGTGTTTCTGATGGATGTAAGAGGAGAAAACAGGTAATAACTTTGAATGCGTCGGTACAGGAGATAGCTTACTGGATAGAACACCAACTGCGCGGACACTAAGATCAACAATTAATAAATGGGGCCCCATGAAACTAAAAAACTTCTGTAAGGCAAAGAACAAAAAGACAGTCTATAGAATGGGCAAAGATTTTCACCAAGTCCCCATCTGACAGAGGGTTAATATCCAAAATATATAAATAACACAAAAATATTTATCAACAATTTTAATAATTCATTTTAAAATAGGATATAACATAGAATTCTCAATAAAGGAAACTCAAAGGCCTAGAAACACTTAAAGGAATGTTCAACAGCCTTATTCATGAGGGAAAAGCAAATCAAAAGTTTGGCCTTCTTATTTGAAAGGCAGTGATTTGATAACTAAGTAACACTGGCTCTCTCCAGAGACTGTTTTCTTTCTTTTTAAAAAAAACTTTAATTA